CCCGGCCTCCTCACACGCAAGAGACCCACAAGCGCACGAGGACGCAAGCACACCGGTGACGCCACCCAGCCGGAGGGGAAACCTGATCCGATGCAAACGCGCGCGAGAGGGAAGGGGGGAGGCGGGGATGAGTGGACTACATCTCCCGGCCACCCGTGCGGTGGACGAGGCTGGCGTCTTGCCCATCGGAGTGGCTGGGAGTTGTAGTCCTTGCCCGACTTGAGGCGTTCTGGCCATCGTGAGAAGGGAAGGCATTGAGCTCTTGGAGGCCTCAGCCGTCCAAAGGGCAGCCATGAAGGAACTGGGAAAAGATCATCAGTGATGAGACCAAGGCCGAGATCGACCGCCTGCTTGTATTCCCAGTCACCAGGCATGGGTGTGGAAGCTGGACAGTGAAAAGAGAAGGATGCTGGGAAAGGCAGAAGGGAAAAGAGGAACACCAAATACAAGGTGGATTGACTGCCTTAAGGAAGCCACAGGCCTGGAGTCCACAAGAGCTGCGCAGGGCTTGTGGTGCAGCAGTAGCCGTCAATGACCAGGTGGGCCTTCTTCCTGCAACAAACTCTTGTGTCGTCTGAATTGTGGTACCCAGAGAGAAAAGCCTCACTCTCCTTGCGCTCACAGTGGTGGCAAGGCCTGGGAGCTTGGGTGCTTCTTAGGGCACGGCTGCCCATTATTAGATATGTCCACCAAGGCCCATCGATGGAGGGCGTCGGTTGGCCTTGAGGTTTAGGAGATCCAGAAGCTGGTGAGATTGACCCAGACTGGCGTCTTGTTGAGAGCCAGAAAGAGGATGTGCTACCCAAATTGAGGGAAGTCACCCAATCCCTGTCTATGCAGAAAGGGGAAACATTTGATTTTTGGACTCATCATCATCATCATCATCATCATCATCATCATCATCATCATCATCATCATCATCATCATCATCATCATCATCATGATGTGCCATCAAATCAATTCTGACCAATGGCAGCCCTTTTCCAGGTTTTGCAGGTAGCGAGTACTCGGAAATGGTTCACCCTTCCTCTGGGGCACCCTTGGGCTGAGCAGCTTGCCCAGGGTTACACAGACTGGCTCCGCTCCTAGGAGGAATTGAACTCCCAACCTTGGGCTTTGCAGCTGGATGCCTAAACCACCGAGCTATCCAGTCAGCTGATTTTGGGACTGAAACTTCCCAACCTCCCTCCACCAGGCGGAGAATGGTGACTCCAGTTTCATGGGGTGCTGACCCAGCTTCAGGAGTTAGACCAAGAACTGTCCGTGGTGCTGAACCTAGTTGGGTGCATTTGTGGTTCAGCACTTGAGCTCCTCATATCCAGAGTAGATAATGGAACCCTGCAGAATCAGAGTCTCCCAGCATCCTCCCAGCCAGCATGGCCTGTGGCATCTGAGTGGCCGTCCTGCATCAGGTGACTCCCCATATCAGCAGTAAATGGCTTAGGCCTAAGTGGCCAAATAGCTGCGTGCATGAATGGACACACGTGTGAATAAGTTGGATGGATGTGTGTGAACCTTGTGTGCATATGTGTATGTATGATGACCAAGGACACCAGCCTCTACACACTGGTGCAATTCCAAAGGATTCCAGGGCATTGACCTTGTCGACGGGGGATTCTGGGAACTGCATTTCACAGGTTGTTTTTTTAAAAAGCCCCTTGCACACTCTGATGTAGGAGGTGATTGGCCAGCTAGTTCTGCAAAGAGTCAGCACTTAAAAGACACTTTTAGATATGATTACTGATGACCACAATGTTATAAGAACCATAAGTATTGCTCTCTCTGTCTTTAAATGACAGCCAGAGTTCTGCTGTTTCAGCATGCAGGCATAAGTGCAGTGATGTAAATCACACCAGCAGTATGCTGCTGGTTGGGGAGTTGCTGCTTGTAGGCCTTCTTACAAACCAAGACATGCAACTGGTGCATAATGGGGAATGCAAGTGGCAGCTCCTTTGTTGTTTAGTTGTTAAGTCATGTCCAACTCTTCGTGACCCCATGGACCAGAGCACACCTGGCCCTCCTGTCTTCCACTGCCTCCCAAAGTTGGGTCAAATTCATGTTGGTTGCTTCGATGAAACTGTCCAACCATCTCATCCTCTGTTGTCCCCTTCTCCTCTTGCCTTCACTCTTTCCCAACATCAAGGTCTTTTCCGGGGAGTCTTCTCTTCTCATGAGATGGCCAAAGTATTGGAACCTCAGCTTCAGGATCTGTCCTTCCAGTAAGCAGTCAGGGTTGATTTCCTTCCTTAACCAGCGGCAATTTGCTGCTGGGATGTGCACCACTGTGCCAGAATACATAAGCAATAAGATTTTGGCCTGGGCTTCATCTCTGAAGATCCCATATTTCCTGTGAATACAATCTGCAGGGTGGAATGGTTTTCCCCCTTTAAAACTAGGTCTGATCTAATACTTGCGACTCTCATTGAACCAGGTATGGCTTGGTGTGGAGCAAATTTGGGTTGATGTTTCCTATTAATCAGACCATAACGTGCTGAGCTGGCACACTCTTTCCCTTGCAAAGCAGAAGGGAAGGAAAAAAATCAAAGCGCTCTCTCGGCATCGTCTGAGAGCACAGCAGGAAGCTTGAGAAGCTTTCCCTTGGTCCTAATACAAGCAATTACCTTTTAATCACATTTTTATATTCTGCAACATGGCTTTTGGATTGCACAAAATAGTATTGTGGTTTCGCCCAGCAGTGCTGCAAAATGTAGTTAAATTACAGCATCTTCTCTGTATTCAACCAAAAAAATGGCTGCCTGCTGAACAGGCACTGCACAAGACTTTCTGCCATTTATTTTACATCAAGCCTGCCAGCCATATTTCTTCCTTTTGTTTTACTATGCACAGGAGGTGGAATAGATGTGATATGATTTGTGTTCCAACCTCCTGTGGTTTCTTAAAACTTCAAAGTAACTGGTGGAGAGGGGTGGACTTTAAGAAGTCACGTCAGCCAGTCTGCTCCAGTCATCTGTCTAAGTTGGACTCTGGCAGTGTGATATATATATGCCAGGTTTCTTCTGAAGAACACATAGAATCTTCAGTTGATTCAGAATGCAACCATGGGAGGGTCCAGTTGAAAATGGGACATAGAGGGCAATCATCATAAGAGTCCCCTTTGCCAGATCCTATTAAGAACTAAACACACAGTTGGCTGTGTGTGTTTTCTGTGTCCTCAAGTCAGAACTGACTTATAGCAACCATGATAGGGCTTTCAAAGTAAATGAGATATTTAGGGAGTGGTTCTACTGATTCCATTCCCCCCAGTGAGTTTCCATGACTGAGCAAGGATTCGAACCCTGGTCTCCAGAATGCTAGTCCATCACTCTATCTACTGCGCCGCACTGGGTATCTCTGCCAATGAACCAGGTCTAGTTCTTCCATCTCTATCAGGAGCAGGTCTTTGGCCCAATGGGTGTGTCCTGAACCCTGCACTGCTCTGCCTTACAAAAGGGACCATGGATCATGCGAGATGGTTTCAGAGAAAATCCAGTTCCCTCCCAGCTCTCGTGAAGGTTGCAGCTCTACTCCAAGGAACCAGGATGCTTGATGAGGTTGTCTTGGCAAATGAGGTTTTTTTTTAAAAAAAAAATAACATAATGGCACTCCAGTCCTGTTAGGGTGGAGGTTTTTTTGGCAAAATAGTTTTTTTTTTTTTTTTTTAAATAACATAATGGCACTCCAGTCCTGTTAGGTCCTGCCCCCACGGCACCATCACCAACATCAAGAGTGGCCAAGCTGGGGGAATATGGGGGGCTGATTCCCACACAGAGACACACCAGGGAGGCTCAGCAGCCTCTTTAAAAATGTGTTTTTCTTCCTCCTCCTCCTCTCAAAAACTGGAAACATCTGGAAGCACACCTCCATTTTTGGAAGAAGAAAAGATATGATATAACAGATACAAGATTTAACCAAAAATCTAAGAATCTGTTAAAGATGATGATGATGATGATGATGATGATGATGATGATGATGATGATGATGATGATGATGAATTGCTCGGGACAGAGATGCCTCCATTAATTGCCATGTCATTCTGGATCGCCAAAAAAGGAGACTAAATCCTAGGGCAGATAATGTAGAGAAGTGGATTTGTTTGAGAGAGTTAGTTTTAAAGCCAAGGCCCTCCCTCTGCCCTCTCTGCCGGCCAACCCCAGGGCTCCTTGGCTCAGCAAGCAGGTATTTTTATACAGCGTGGGCACACCAAAAGGCCAAGAGGAAGTGGAGGGGACTGCAGGGAGACCTGATGGACATATGCCTTGGGGCCACTTGCACGACTTGAAACAAGAGAAGGAGTGAAGCACCGTCATCGTGACTCATGAGTCCTTCCTGGTGCATAACTCCCAGCAGCAGGACTGGGCAAGACCTTCCCTATCGTCTATGCTGTAAGGATGGCTGAATCGGATAGAAGCCTTGATAGGAATGGTGGCAACACCTGCATAACTGATGAAAACCACCAGCAGCCCAGTTCCACATTGTCATGTTCCCTGCTTAGCTGGAGTTCGTCTACATTAATCTGGAAGTGTCTACTCAGATTTTCCTGGCACCCACGGCCATAATCAGCTGGCCCCAAAAGTTCTTCTCAGTCTCATTCTCCCAGCGCTA